TTTGTAATCGAAGATAGATGTAGATGTCTATGGGCCACAACAAACACTTACCATCAGGTGGACTGGACTGTGTGCTCGTTTGTCACTCTATCCTATAAAAAAAGAACTTTAATATTACCAAGAGCTGCTAGAAAGTTAGAGTTAGTTGTTATTTTGATATTAATTTAACTTTTAATGACATTGTAGTATAAGGGAACTTCTTTTTCTTTCTTCTCATTAAGGATCATATTTTTAGCACTTCTTGGGGGAGGCCTATATTCAGAAGTGGACATGTAAAATGCTGTAATGATGATGATGAATAACTGTTAGATGATGATAAAGTACTGTTTAATACATATTACATGCCAGATTTTTTTTTTATCCCGAACTAGTCCATAGATGGATCTCTGCTTATGTAATTTTGTTTATAACAGTGCTTTGAAGCTAAATTAGATGAATGGAAATGATGAGATTAGATATGAAAACCTCAAGGTATTGTGACCATTATGGAATCTTGTAATTCTATTGTCATCAAAAAAAAATTCAAAATGATTTTGTGTATTTATTTTTGGTTAAAGGCCGGTATCTATGTCTCGTAGATAAAGCATATGAAGTTTTAATTAGTAGTTGGTAATGATTTTATTTTCGGTCAGTTAAGATTAATTCTATTTTAACTAATTTAACAAGAGATATTTTTTGGACCCAGATAGGTCTCATAGAATAAAAGTAACAAGCGAGTACACAGTCCAACTGATGGTAAGTCTATCCTGAGTTAAAAATTAAAATGATACTGCTTTTTTATCCCTGAAGACTAAGATGGAATGCCTCATTTATAGTAAAAAGGGTCTACGGTACACTTCACCAGTGCGGCTGTGTTTTGTATGGTGAGTGTGGAGAACAGGAGGCCCTTTTTACTGGAAACAAGGCATTTCATCCTAATTCTTATGAGTGAACTAATTTCCATTTCGATTTTTAATTGCAGCCAATGCCGTAAACGTCAACCTTGACGGCTCCGTGGCGTAGTTTTGAATTAAGGCGCTGAGGACCGCGGGTTCGAATCCAGCACAAAACAATTATTTGTAGTCCATACTATGTACATATTAATAATAATAATATAATAATAAAAGCCTTTTATTCAGACAGATATTAGTTGATACATTCTTCCATATTTTTTGTTTTAGACTAATTTTGCTTCAACATCCCTGCCTGTGTGCCTCTTTTGACAAAGGCCTCCTACAACTGTGACCATTTTTCTCTATCACCAGCCACTCTTGTCCATGTGCCACCTGCAACAGCCTTTACTTCATCGATCCATCTTATGGATGGTCTGCCTCGTTTCCTTCTCTTGTTTCTTGTAAACCAGAACATTATTGTTTTTGACCATTTTTCTTTGCCCCCAATTTTATGCACTATCAATTTCCATTTCAGTTTTCTTATGGTTACTGTAATTTCCCTTTTTCCTGTGTGTATCTTTATGGTTGTAGTTTTTATTTTATCTGTCAGTTTTTTCCCCATCATACTCCACATACTACATACATACACGGATTCAAATCCGCACGGAAAAAGTATTTTTATAAATCTACAAATAACTGTCCCAGGTCTGGGTGTTGGTCCTTGTGCAATTTTTGTTTGTAAACTGCCTCCACAATACAGGAGAAAATCTTAGTTGGGGTTCGAGGGTAACGTTTTTTAAAAAAAGAAAAAGAAACGAAAACACTGTTCACATTATATTCAAACATGGTAGAAACAGACAAAAGAAATAGTAACAATTACAGTTAAACACTAGTTACGTACCGATAGCGCAGCTCTTGATGTGTAAGCAGCTGGACAAAAATGGCAACGGTAGGGACGTATCCCCAGATGTAAGTGCTCATGGGACATGAGGTTATTTTTAGTCGCGAACTCCGCAGGACACTGATCACAGGTGAACCTGGAAAGAAAACCGGACGGCTCCGTATGAGTTAAGGCACTGAGGGCCGTGCGTTCGAATTCCATATGGAACAAGTATTTGTATGGCCTGCAGGTACCTGTTCCGGGTCTGGATGTTTGTCCTTGTGCAATTTATGTATGTAAACTTTCTGGCTGCCACCATACAGGAGAAAATTCTGGTGTATGATTACGTTTTTTTTAAATAATTTTATAATCTAGCTTTTAACGTGAATAACCTACAGACTAATGCCGTTTTAGCTCAGAGGCTTAGTGCTCGCTTTAAATTTTACCAACGAAAACACCAACGTTTCGTTGGAGCACCAACGACATTGTTAATTACGATTTGAAGTGCTGATTTACCATATGCTCGCCGGTAAAGGAAAAAAACATCGTGAGTTCAAGGAAACCTACATATCTGAGAAATAAGAAATTTTTTTTCAGACATGTGAAGTTCGCCAACACGTATTGAAACAGCGCGGCGGACATTTCCTTGCCCTAAACCCCTCTCAGAAATGAGTGGAGGCCAGACTGATGTTGGGTAAAGCGTTTCCAGAGCTAGGCTATCATCTTTGCACTCACCAACTCGCCACCACAGTGCGGGTGACTTATAATATAAATTACATATTAAAAAGGCCTACATCTGGCTGCTCATATATTGATAGTCGATAACAGATGGACTAAGCATTTGGCTGCCGTACTGCAGACTGATTTCGTATGACAGAAGCATTTGTAAGATCTACAAATGGAATTCAGATCTATGTGCGATTAAAATTCAAATTGTGCAATTTACATTTCGCAATAGCTACTAGCAATAGCAAACTTATTTGTCATTCTCACATTATTAAAAAGGAATAAAACAAAATTAATGAATGATGTTATTAATTAATATATTAAATAGGTCGGAGCCAGCTATTCAGGTGACGTTATATTTCGATTAGCCGACGATTTTTTTTTATAGAAGAGGGGGGAAACGAGCATGCGCCTTATAAATTAAATAATATATTAAATACGTTGGAGCCAGTTATTCAGGTGACGTTATATCTCGATTAGCCGACGATTTTTTTTTATAGAAGAGGGGAAACGAGCACGCGCCTTATAAATTAAATAATATATTAAATACGTTGGAGCCAGTTATTCAGGTGACGTTATATCTCGATTAGCCGACGATTTTTTTTTTATAGAAGAGGGGGAAACGAGCATGCGCCTTATAAATTAAATAATATATTAAATACGTTGGAGCCAGTTATTCAGGTGACGTTATATCTCCATTAGCCGACGATTTTTTTTTTTATAGAAGAGGGGGAAACGAGCATGCGCCTTATAAATTAAATAATATATTAAATACGTTGGAGCCAGTTATTCAGGTGACGTTATATCTCGATTAGCCGACGATTTTTTTTTATAGAAGTGGGGGAAACGAGCATGCGCCTTAATGGTAAGTGACTACTGCCACCCATGAACAACCGCAACACCAGGGGAATTGCAGGTACGTTGCTGGCCTTTTAGAAAGGAGTAAGCTCTTTTCTTTCGGGTCCCTAAGTGGTGCCGGTCTGGAAAAATCGCCGGTGGTAAACAATTCCACAGAAAAGTTGTACGAGGAAGGAAACTCCTAGTAAAACGCACAGTAGTGGACCGCCAAGCATCCGGATGGTGAAAATGGTATCGTGAATTTTGACGCGATGTGCGTTCGTGAAATTTGGCCCTCCCTCCCTCAGACCATGTGTGTCGAGCATGTGTCATTGATGCAATAGAAAATGTAAAGGGATGCAACATCTCTATGCTCCCACTACTATTTTTAAACAATTTCTCTTTATACTGTAGATAATATAGTTAATTATATTAATTTCCAAATCAAATTTTTAAAATCAACATCCTTTTAATGCTATTTCCCTTTATGAATATTTAAAATAACATAAATAATATAAATTAAAAGCTTAATAAACAAATTACTACACAAAGAAATAAATAATGGGATGATCATACTTCTGCGGTTTTGATGCAAAAATTGGTGGATATGGTCGTTTTGGACCGTTTCTACCCAAGCACAACGCTCTTGCCGCCAAAACTATGTCCGCATCAGGGGCGATGCATCGCTTTTCATGCTTATAAAGATTTGTAGTACTGAAATAATACAAAAATAAAATTTTATTAATTTATTTAAATATTTATGAAAGACTCATAATTATGTTACATATGTATGTATTATGTATATATATATATTTGTATACCAATGTTTAAATTTTTAATATATATATATATACATATTATGTGAGTAATATGTTTCACACCTACCAACAATTTTCTTTGAGACCCAGTGTTGATTGACAGAGAATGCCACATAGGATTATGTGCCCTTAGCTTTAAGATGTTACATTTAAGCTTTTGAAATTTAATATGTTATTCTTAGATTAAATCAATAAAATTACCCTTTTTTCTGAACTTGGCTGACACACTACCGTTGGTCTATATGTGATGTGTATTGTTATTGCTAGGAAGAAACAACTGATCAGTATAAAGTACCTTAGAGATAGGTTACAGAACAATTACTTGTAATTATATTCCTAATAATAATAATAAATGCAGAAAATAGTACTCTCTGATTCAACCTGCATTTTTCGCCTGTTACTTACTCTTTCCATATAACTCTCTGCTGTTTTATCTCCCTGCCGAAAACTTCTATCTGTTTGGGTTTTTATTTCTATACATATTTATTATTTATTTTACTTTATTTAAGGGTCTTTTATATATTTATACAGCCCAAACAGATGAGATATTTAATAATGGCAATTAAAGTTTATGAAATTTATTTGGATTTTTTTAAATATTTGCTATTAAATAAAGACTTATTATTATGGAATATCTTAGTGGTAATCCAGTCTGGGTCAGATGCAATAAGTACTTATAAAAATATATAAATAAATACTATAATCATAAATCGATATATTAATATTATATATAAATACTAATAAGAGAATGAATATTAAATAATAAAAGCTCCTTATTTGCGAGATATGTGTACCAAAATTATACCCAGTGCAGGGCATGTATAGGAGAGGTCTCATACAATACATGCCCTCCACAGGGGATCCAATCTGTAACACCTATTAGAAAAGAGCCATGTCCTGTAAGGAGCATTTTCAGTTTTTAACTACAACGGTTACATAACCAATATTGATTTGTATTATGATATTGATTGATATTGTTATTGAAAACCATTTTAAGATATTGATATCAGTGGTAGTGGTTTGCTACTGAATGCACAAATGTCAACCGAAACTTTAAAATCAGTACAAAACATTTATATTACGAATTACTTGGATTATTAAAGGTAGTTTATTTATTAATGATTATTTAAGTTGGCCATTATTCTTCATGCTTAACTAGGCTTTAGGACTAGCAGAAAAGTTTCATAAGTTAGAACTTAAGTCCCCAGTAGTAGATTTATAGGACAACGTTTGTTGACAATATTTACAAACAGCAAAGTACACAGAATTGTCTTTTTTATCAAAGAGAGACCATATTTCATTAGCCTAACGCTACATTTTAATTTTTTTACAAAAATGATTAAGAGACACTAAATCAACTTAAACTATACTATACTATATTTTCACCGTATGCTAAAATTAAAACTAATGTACAAAATTCACAAAAATATTGCAAATAAATGCATGAACGCAACATCAAAAATTAATAATTTTATAGATACCTTAGAGAATGGCATGCGCCACCAAGGTTAAGTGTGTATTGTTGCGTTTTGAAAAAATTCAAATTCAAAACTTTCCATCCAAAACATACAAAATTAAGCCTTGTGTCTAATGACCGAATGATTATTTAAAATTCGATAACTCTCATAACTGCACAAACTTAAAAATTTAGGTAATTTTAACCGTAACTACTAGGAACATATGTGAAGGCCCGACATGCTCTCATTATACTATTTGGCCGGAAAAATGCTATCAGGTCTTGCCATTTTATAGGGAAGAAAACTGTGAATGGCCCAATGGATATTATCTACTGTTAACACTCTCTGCGCTAAATCAACACAACTTAGGTTGTGTAACAAATAACAAAATTTTCACTTGTAAAATACAGGAAGTGATTTCAATTTTTTCTTCTAAGAATACTGAAACTGCAAATAAGAAGCTTTTACTGTAACTATAGTTCATTAACAAAGATCTCCAGGGCCGGACAACATACCAAACGATTTCATGAGGGGCACGGCAGAGGAACTGGCTCCAATTCTCACCAGGATATTTAACGACATACTCAAGTCGGGCGTCATTTCAAATCAGTGGGGGAGTCACATAATTCTCCTGCATAAAAAATCTAGGGAAGTCATTGACACTTATAGACCAATTAGTTTGATCTCAATAAGGTGTTCGCAAAAGTATTGCTAGAAAGAATTACAAAAACTCTAGACGCCAATCAACCCATAGAGCAGGCAGGCTTCAGAAAAAACTACAGCACAATTGACTACATTCACACTTTCAAACAAATATTGGAAAAAGTAATGAATACCAAAAACCCGTTTACATAGCTTTTATAGACTACTCAAAAGCATTTGACAGTTTGAAACATAAATACATTTGGTCAGCTTTGAGATGGCAAGGAGTAGATAATACCTATATTGAGATACTCAGAAACATTTATAGCATGAGCAAAAACCGCATCAAACTGGAATCGAAAGGAGACCTATTTCCCATTAATAGAGACGTCAGACAAGGAGACCCACTGTCCCCCAAACTGTTTACGGCTGTGCTGGAGGATATCTTCAGAAGACTAGACTGGGATGAATATGGCCTCAACATCAATGGCAGTCTTTTAAATCATTTAAGGTTTGCTGACGATATTATCTTGCTGGAAGAAGACCCAAGTAAACTACAAGCAATGGTACAAACTTTAGAGAACAGAAGCAAAGAAGCAGGTCTTGAAATGAACACAATCGAAACAAAACTGATGACCAACTCTACAAAAGTCAACATAGAATTAGATGGAAAAAGACTTGAATATGTGCAAGAGTATGTGTACTTGGGTCATCATTCATCATTAATTGCCCCTAGTGACCAAACATCTAAGGAAATTAACAAAACGATTGTTAGTGGTTGGAAAAAATACTGGTCTCTGAGAGAAATAATGAAAAATAAAGAGCAAAGCATCTCTATCATGAAGAAAACATTTAACACCTGTATTCTCCCCTGCATCACATATGGTTGTGAGACGTAGTCCCTCAACCAAAACCACCGGGAGAAACTTGCGAAATATCAACGAGCAATGGAGTGAAGTATGTTGGGAGTAAAACTCAAGGATAGAATTAACAACAAGGAAATAAGAAACAATACCAAGGTTGCTGACATTCTGACTCGAATCGACCATCTGAAATGGGGCTGGACAGGTCATATGATTTGTTGCAAGACCAATAAATGGAGCAAGCAGGTAACCCTATGGTACCCAAGAGATGGCGTCAGAAAACAGGGCCGCACAATCAGAAGATGGGAAGACGATATCCGCCTAACCTTGGGACCATACTGGATAAGGGTAGCAGCAGACAGAACCCAATGGAAGCAGTTGGAGGAGGCCTATGCCAAAAGCCACACTGAACTGAGGGACTTACTTTATCTAGTATTACAATAGGAACTCAAACACAAATATTATGTAACCCCAAAGTTCGGAAATAAATGGCTATATTATATTATATAGTTCATTAACAGTTAGTATTTAACAAAACTGGATTAATGGTTACACTACCACAGGACTAAGCTAAGTGGGTACCATGAGTCTGTCCTGCGCAAATGGCTACCTGCGTAGATGGCCGTTTTATTTAAGACCTACATCAGCTAAGCCTGTTTCATTAAAAAGCAGGATGATTTCCATTTAATCAGATTATGGAGAAAGTTATTGTTGCAATATGTACCCAAAAATATTATAGAACATAAGACACACTGTACTATTTATACGACTACAAACCTTCTAAAGTCAACTCCACAAGCATAACAGATCAGATAACGAGGTCCATGCTTCTCTTGATAGTGGCGTCCTGCTGCTGGAATAGTTTCTGACAAACTATGGCAATAAATGCACCTAAAAAATAAACATTAATAATAGGAAACTAAACATAATAACAAGAAATAAATAAATGGCAACTTATATGACTGGTTTTGTTGACTTATAACAATACTCACTCCAGCATAATACCATTCAAAAGATAGTAGTCTAAAGGTGGTGCCGGAGGTTTAACATTTTTCATTATCTCTGAAAGTGTTGCAATTAGTTTCTTTTTATTTCGTCTAATTTCAGGATACTGTTGCCTTAAATCATTAATAAAAGACTTTCGTTCCCAAGGTTTTGCCATGGTGTATCTATGTTTCTCTTTTTCCTCACTATCACTATTATCACTTGTTTGTTCCTCCTCTGGTACATATTCTGTGTCATCCCCACTGTATTCCAAATCATTCTTAATTTCTGTGTCAATCTCAATGTTTTCTGTGTCATCCTCGATGTTTTCTGTATCAATCTTATCATATTTCGATTTGATATTTTTTGTTAGAGGTTCTTCGAGATTTTCACTGTCACTGTCTGGTGGTTCTTCTTTTATGAAGAAATCTTCAAAGTCTATTAATTCGCCATAAGTTTTAGCAGTATCAATAACCTCTCTTACAGCCAACTCATTAATTTCTTCGTCTGCCACTTCAGTTTTAATTCCTGTATCAGTGCTATCTTCGTTGCCAATTATAACTAATAACATATCATCTTCATTTTCCATAGCGTAAATATCTGGAATAAGTCATTTTCACAGAAAGTTACTAATGCGGTTATCCAGGTTATCTTATACAAAACTTCCAATATATAAATACGATATATATTACATTACAAAGAAAATATAATAATTGAATTAGTTATAGTACATAATAGTGAAGACCGCCAAACACCGTCAAATTCAATAATTTCAGTCACATATTTTAAAAAGGAAGCAAAGGTAAGAGATCATTCTATCTTCGATCACTGTATGAAAATTACAACGTCAGAGTTAAAATAAAAAGTACTACACATTTGGTTTAATATTATGCCCCGTATTTTATTACTAGTTTACTAGTACTTTTCGACTTGGCAATTACTTGCACTAACCATGAGAATACACAATATGAAAATACTCACGACAAAAACCTAATTTTCCAAGATTAAATTATTCCAATGGTTTGAGGCAATTTCTTAATTTCCAAATCAACGCTTGCAATGATCAGTGATTACATTCTCTTTGCCTCAAAGGGCATATTAAAAACATAATTCTTTTTTTTTGTTGGTTATTGACTCATACGATTGTACTTTTGCCAGTATCAGGTAAGTAAGCTCACAAACTTTTATAGCCCGTACGTCTGTGTCGACATGCCCATTGATTACTGTGCACATATCATAGTCATAGACGTATATTAAGCATATGGACCTGGCATACCTACAAGAAAAACGTGCATACCTACACTTTACTGAGAGGATAAAATGGCGGTTAATAGGGCAGCCTATATCGATATTTTTATAATAATAACATCGATTTTACAACTGACAACTACAACAAGATTGTGAGAATGTTTTCATATGGCCACGGAGACACGAAAACACGGCACATTATCTGTGCGTAAAATTACCCCAAGTTTTCTAACTTATTTATGCCTTTCATCTAAGTTGTTTCTTGGTTCATAATTTTTCATGTCTAAACCGTAGAACATATTTTTGTGGTGGTTCCGTCAATAGTCCATAGATGTTATTTTTTAATGAAATATAATTATTTTGAATAAAACTATTAATTACGGATTTTATCGCGTTTAATTACTTTAATTTATTTTTATTATTATCCCGACGTTTCGGGTGCTTTACAGCGCCCATGGTCACGGGGGCACAGAACACTATTACTCCTATCGGAGAAGAACGACAACTTCATACAAAATTTAAGAAATGAGATATATAACTACTAGCGCTATCTATCGTCAGCCTCCAGCACTTCTCGTGTGGCGGGAAAATTTGGATGTGGTCTTTTTTGTTTTTTTTTATTTGAGGTATTTTTGGGTTTCCTATCCCAGCGCTCAATAAAAGAACAAAAATTACAAAATTTCTATTTATTTATTCAAAATAAAAATACAAATTAAATAAAAAACATACATAACTTAAGAAACAAAATTTCTCAAGCAGCTTAGTTCTTTCTATAAAGACATTTGATGGGTTTAAAAATGAAAAGAAAATCAATATTGATTACAACATTTCAATTACTTAAGTAAACAATGATTGATTGAGCAAGTGGATGAGTTTGTGTATTTGGGATGTGTATTTAGCAGGGATGGTAGATATGATAGGGATATAGAACGACGAGTAAATGCAGGGAATAGAGTGAATGGGGCACTACACTCTATTGTGAAGAACCAGAATTTGTCAAAACAGGCACGTATGGTAATTCATAATGCTGTGTTAGTCCCTACTTTAATGTATGGTAGTGAAAGCTGGGTGTGGCAGAAGAAGCACGAAAGTAAAATAAATGCTGTAGAAATGCGGTCTTTAAGGAATATGCTAGGGTGTAATCTGAATGACAGGGTGAGAAATTGCGTGATAAGAGATAAATGTGGTATGCAAGATGATGTTGTGACCAGGATTAAGAAAGGAATGCTTCGGTGGTTTGGTCACGTAGAAAGAATGAATGAAGAAAGAGTGACAAAGCAAATTTATATGGCAGATGTGAATGGCCGAGTCGGGAAGGGACGCCCTAGGAAAAAGTTTATCGACCAAATTGGCGATATTTTGAAAATGGGCCACGTTAGAAGTACCCTTAACCGACGAGCATGTATGCGTAGATATATGGATGTAAAGGAGGCGAAAGAGGTATGTCAGGATCGTGCCAAATGGAAGTCCGTAGTCTCTGCCTAACCCTCTGGGTGACAGGCGTGAGTGTTTATGTTATGTTATGTTACTATCTATTTCCCTGAATTGACACTAAAAATTTTGTCTCTATATTATATGCAATATATTAATGCAGCTTATAAATAGAATAATTTTAATTCAAAATTATAAAACATATTAAATATTAGATTACAAAAATATTCCTTATTTCATTTTAAAAAATTTCATATAGAGTACTTTCTTTTTCAGGTTCAACATTATGTGTTATGCTTTGATGTTTGTGGTTGTTCTTCAGTGGATATGATGTCCTTTTTGAAGATCCTGCTTGTGGTTTTGCAGCAATAATTTGCGAGGGACCAGCTTGTGATTCCACAAAATAAAATGGGAATACACTTTGTTAGTCTGGAAATAAATAAAAACTGAAATAAATTATAGTATCATAAAATTATTATATAAAATTAAATTAACATTATATTCATTGACATTACTTTCATAGTAAACCAGTCCCTACTCATGGCACTACATTACCCTTCTATCAATACAAAATAAATGAATGGTCTTGTTCATCCAACTTGCTCTATAATACACCCACTATTTTAATATAACAAAATAAGATAGTAAATACAATAACTATGTGAAAAGAAATTTTGTGTTTATCTATTGTTTGAGAACCATTTGATGCATGTATTTCTACTGTGTTGTACAAGTTGTGCCTTTAAATTTGATAGGTTTAGGACCAAATGTAATTATTCATATTGTGATGCCAGAACTTTCTTAAGGTTTGTTGTTGTTTTAAAATAAAATTTGATTGTTAAAAATAATATGTAGTGTGTAGCACTTTTAATAATGTAAGGAAAGGCTTGTGTCAACTTTATAGACTTCAATCCTTTGGATGCTTTGTCCAATCCAATTTAAATTAGTTGAAAGAATTAACAGGATTCAAACTACCGTATGTGGTCTATCCATCCATGTTAGATCCAGATGATGGTCATATGAATAATCATCATCATCTTTATTACAGTCTATTAAAGTCCACTCCTGAATATAGTAATCCCCATATAAAATATCTGAGTAATCCTTAAAGAAAACTATATACATACCATATTACCATATACATTATACACTTTACTTACATCACATGGGACTGCAGTTCTTAAGAGCTTTTTCTTGGTTGCATCATTAAATTAACCATCATGAAAATGTTTTTCACACAGCATTCTGGGCTTATTATGTAGCTTTGTCTGGAAAGCTAAAGTAGTATACCGCTCTTGGGAAGGAATATAATATTTCGCCCATAATTTACAGCTGAAAACAAAAGATATAATTATTAAATACAAATTTTATCAAAGTAGGTCCAATGGTTTACAAACCAATAATTTGTTTTTAAATGGTAAAAGAGAAACAATAAGTTGGACAAGAGATTTACTTTAAGGTTAGAACTTATTAAATAGTGTATATGTATATCGTATACATACCGCAAAATATACTTTACTGCGAATTTCGGAAACCTAAATAATTTAATGTTGTCAATGGTTGGTATGCTGTTGCACTTAGAACACTTTTTCTATTTTCTTTATCCGCCATTGCTGCGTAGTTTTTAAGAGTCACTATTTCGTATTTCACTACGATTCATTGACTAACACATTGCACATCATATAAACGAAGGACATTAATCTCAACTCAACATCGTAAACTTGCAAAATCTTAGTAAAAGACACAAGCAAAACAAACATAACAACCAATCATGAACAACAATAATTTACACGGCGGCGCCATATTATGAGAAAAGAGTAATATATACTCATTTAGGTATTTGGTGCTACTAGTAAAAAATATAATTTTCTACTCATTGAAAATCAAAACAAAAAAGAAAACATTTATTTTTCTTTTACTGTCAAGGATATGCTAATATAATAATGTAGAAAAATACAACAGGCATAGTTATCTTCCTATGGATAATTATTTCTGTATTCAAAATTTTTGAGTGTAATTTATCTTTAGCAAAATCTTACTAATTATGAAACAAGAAATTTATCTGACAAATGGCAATAATAAAATTCAGCCCCCGTAGGTATTTCATTCTGTCCATACAGAGTTGACCGGGCCTGCACGGGGGGGGACTGAGATGTTTGACGTCCCAATGTCATAGTTAGTCCGGCTACCTACAGTTTTTTAATATTAATTTTTGGTCCGATTTACGCAAAACGAGCTTATAGTATCATGAAGTCTTGCAGTGGTATGCTTGGGTTTGGGTTTAATTTTGTTAATTATAGGATCCCAAGCAGATGGTAGCACCCAACCATCTTCTCTATTGAAATTTGGATGTTTTTTAATTTCAATAGCCTCGCGTATCATCCTTGGTAGGAATCGGTGTTCTTTTGCGAGAATTTGTGGTTTATCAAATCTAATGTAATGGTGGGGACGATCTTGAACATGTTCGCAGACTGCAGACTTCCCGGAGCGTCGGTGCTTCACATCAGCTATATGTTCCTTCACGCGGGTTTTTATAGATCTCTTTGTTTGACCTATGTAAGAGAGACCACATTCACAATCTAGCTTGTACACACCTGCATCTTGTAGAGGAATATTACATTTGATGGATGGTAAAAATTGACTAATCTTCTTCAGCGGCTTGTAGTATGTCTTAATGGACGCTCGCTTCAAGATGTAGCCAATCTTGTCTGTGACTCCTCTAACATATGGTAGTAGAGCAGGCGCGCGCTCGACTGTGGCCGGCTTCACTCGTTCACTGTGATGTAGGCGCGGGACCCGAAGCTTGTTGTCTTGCAATACTTGCTTGACGTGCTGAAGCTCCGCGGCCAGATGTTTTCTGTCACAGATCCCTCGTGCTCTCTGAAACAAAGATTTACCCACGGTAGCTAACTGTGAAGGATGATGGTGAGATTCACCATTTTACCAACCGATATTTAAATGGTGAATCTCACCATCATCCTTCACAGTTAGCTACCGTGGGTAAATCTTTGTTTCAGAGAGCACGAGGGATCTGTGACAGAAAACATCTGGCCGCGGAGCTTCAGCACGTCAAGCAAGTATTGCAAGACAACAAGCTTCGGGTCCCGCGCCTACATCACAGTGAACGAGTGAAGCCGGCCACAGTCGAGCGCGCGCCTGCTCTACTACCATATGTTAGAGGAGTCACAGACAAGATTGGCTACATCTTGAAGCGAGCGTCCATTAAGACATACTACAAGCCGCTGAAGAAGATTAGTCAATTTTTACCATCCATCAAATGTAATATTCCTCTACAAGATGCAGGTGTGTACAAGCTAGATTGTGAATGTGGTCTCTCTTACATAGGTCAAACAAAGAGATCTATAAAAACCCGCGTGAAGGAACATATAGCTGATGTGAAGCACCGACGCTCCGGGAAGTCTGCAGTCTGCGAACATGTTCAAGATCGTCCCCACCATTACATTAGATTTGATAAACCACAAATTCTCGCAAAAGAACACCGATTCCTACCAAGGATGATACGCGAGGCTATTGAAATTAAAAAACATCCAAATTTCAATAGAGAAGATGGTTGGGTGCTACCATCTGCTTGGGATCCTATAATTAACAAAATTAAACCCAAACCCAAGCATACCACTGCAAGACTTCATGATACTATAAGCTCGTTTTGCGTAAATCGGACCAAAAATTAATATTAAAAAAACTGTAGGTAGCCGGACTAACTATGACATTGGGACGTCAAACATCTCAGTCCCCCCGTGACCATGGGCGCTGTAAAGCACCCGAAACGTCGGGATAATAATAAAAATAAATTAAAGTAATTAAACGCGATAAAATCCGTAAATAATAGTTTTATTCAATGTGTAGTGTTCGCGTAAATTTAAGAAATCATTATATAATTATTTTATTATAAGTTTAGTTTTTGTCGTGTATCACATTATGATCAACATACGACCTAATACAGAGCTGCAATTTGCAATAAGACGTTTGAAAATTTGAATTTCACGGGCTACGTTGGCAGAACTATCATATGATATTATAAAGAGATGAAATTTGTTGGTACGCAAGGGGTAATCTATAGAACTACCAGTCGGATTTTTAAAAAATATTTTTGATATGATAGCCCAGTTCTTGAGAAATGCCTATACCTTTAAAGTCTAGCCTATGTAACACCACGCTATGGCTCTTAGAAGCTAAGCAAAAAGAAAAAAAGGCCAGAAAAAATGTTAAGCGAAAACGAAGTGAAAGCGCGGGCAGGTAATGCGATGCGGCGGGATTTGAGTCGGGGGACCAAAAAATTTCTCGTTAAGGCACAGGCGGAAGCTACTAATTACTATTTTGATTTTAAGTTTCCTACACCTACCATTTTTAACATGCAGATGATTGTGGGTTTTAATTAAAAGTCAACAATAATTTTAATAAAGTACTAACTTCTGCTCGCGACTTCATCCACGTAGACAAAATGGTTTTAATGGGATTTTTAATTAGTTTTTAACGTTAATTTTGTTATAAGTTATAACATATAAATTATTATGTTAAAATGTGTGAATACTTATTAAATATCCTTATTATAGTGTAAAGATTTAAAGATTAAATAAACATGGAAATAAAATAAAATTTTATTATATTTTATGAACACGAAGCTCGACCTTTGATCTGGTGAAAGTGACACGGGACACGCATGCCAGATTGGACGACCAAAATATCTTGACAAATTTTTAAAATGTCGGGATTTTGAGGTTATTGTTACTGAGTCCACTAATTTGGATTCCTTATTAGTATAAGAAAATTGCGAAAAACAATACAAACCAAATTAAATTTCTAAGACAAACTGCTACCTACTTAAATATCTATATTAAAACTGAAAGAAAACCATATTATTATACACAACAAATCAAACACAGATGTATTTACAATTAAAACTAAAAACCCATATTATACACTAACAAATCAATTTCAAAAAAACTTACGTAAATATTATAACAATAAATGAAAAAGAAATTAAATTGAAGAGATGAATTAGTGAAAATGAAAAAAAAAACAAATTGTACAGCAATCACAAATATACGCTAAGTAGGTAATCTAAGAGGAAGGAAATTTCGAAGGAAAATCACGGTGCGGTGTGGGATTCTGAATTTAATAAATTTCTTTGGTTTAAATTTTTGATAATATTACTAAAATTAGTAATTTTTTTCTTCTGTCATCTAACTTTCTTATTAAGTCTCTATCTTCATGGACTGGTTTTGACATATATCCTTTAATTTATTTATTATTTCATATGAGTGTACCTGAAAGCAAATAAAATAAAATATAAATATAAAGTAATACAGAAGACAAGCGAGAGATATCCCCCATCCAGTCTCAATTTAGTCGATGAGATCTTATAATTGAGATCTAATTCGCAAATAATGATTGATGGTAATAGAAACTGAAGCTAGTCGTACCGATAAATCTGGCATAGCGGAGATACTAGCGGGTAAATATGGCACAGCAGAGGTGCTAGCAACTAAATCTGGAGCAGCGGTGGTGCTAGCAGCCAAATCTGGTGATATGCTAGTGACTAAATCTAGCATAGAAGATGTGCTAGGGGATAAATCTACGCCATTCCTTAGTCTCTTAACCAGTCTTTAATATTAATATAAATATTAATATAAATAGAAAAGTAAATGCTAAAAAAATTTATGACTCTTCAAAAATAGAGTTATCCCGGTGTTTTAATTAGGAAAAAAATTACCATAATAGGAGCACCACATCCAGATATTCATTGTGAGTTTGTTTGATTTTGATCATTTTCAATTAAAATGCCAGACATATTTGATTGAATCGTAGGCTGTAATCAAACAATAAAATGATTAGTATTTTTTTGTTTCTTGATTTTATTAATATGATTTTTTATTAATCTTAAGACCACACTTGAACACATTCTTTACATCACTATTTGTGTCCATTATACAAGGTGGAACAGAACAATTACATTTTTTAAACTACATATTCAGTTCATGATTCTGGACCCTGATTTTTTTAAATCAGCTTTGTCCTATAAAAGTACAATACTACGCAGTGAAAATGTATGGAATATAATTTTTTTTTAATAACCGACGAAATATTTCAACACGGTGGGGTTCAGTCGTATACAGACTATGTCATTACAATTAATGTCATCACTACTCAATTTATCAGCCATTACACAATTATGTTGGAAAAATTTATAACATGTAACGTTACTTACTAATAAGGTTTGTGAAGGTAAAGCATCGTCATTCAATGTATACTTTATTCAGTGTCCGGTTGAAACATGATTCATAAAAGAAGAGAACAAAATATGAATTGTTTTTGTTGACATCTTTAAATTTTCAACACTAATTGTTTCCAGCCAAATTATCTTCTTTCATTTATTAGCAGGCAGCCTTGAAAGTAAAACATAAAACCAATAAAGAACCATAAAATAGCATTATCGATAAATATAAATATGTCTAAATGCATTACTCAATCCCTTCAAAAACAAAAAAATGATTTCGTACAACTGTTGAAAATAAAAGCATAAGGGAAATAATTAATATTTCACTATTGAAACTCTTTAACGAATGCAAAATCTTTTTTTTTAAATCTAAATCTGAAGATATTTCAGTTAAATTAAGTGCGTACTGGTGTAAAGTTATGTTCGGGTGTTTTCTACTACTTTTGATGGCAAATCCGATTATATTGCAATTGGGTATCTTGCTATTGACGATTGTTACTACTGAACCGAATTCAAACGCAATAACACAGTAAATTACTACAAAATTCACAAATTACGTGAACAGCCCAAGAGCATTTGACAGTTGACGTACCATCTTTGGTATTAAACAACGAGAGGACAAAATGGCAACCCGGCCGCAAATAGGTTTTTCAATGAGGTTAGAATGAAGGATTGCGATTATCATCATCATATCATCCTTTTTCACTTACACAATATTAGGAAGGTTAAAAAGAGATAGTATTATTAATATGTCAGCGTCGAAAAGGCTCATATTTGTATAACTATTTTTTCTATAGTCAAATCACAGAGGAAACCACACAATAGGATGTCTATGAATACATCCGAAATGTTTCCAGTATACTGGCGAATGAGAATGACATCATTAACTGACGCCAAATTCCACCATATTCGATACAACGAATCACCAGTATGGCGTCGATTTATGATGTCATTTGCATTGCCAGTGTACTGGGTTCTATTTCCGAACATAACCATAGAGATTAGCCTCAGCGTGACCACTTTTAGTAGATTTGAAACAAATAAGACGATAATCTAGTAGGACAAAATGCGTGGACAGAGAAAGCTACAGACTAATGATTGGCGTGGCCTCGAGTGAGAAAGGACGATTACGTAGTTTTAGGTTATACAATAATCTTTATGACGTTTAAACATATTTAGAGAACATTTTTAATCGTTACAAGAACTGAACTGAACAAGATTCACAAATCTTAAGCTCACAAAACACTTTTTTTTCACTTAAACCAACTTGTCCAAAAGTTTTAATTTTACAGTTGGCAGCACACGAAAATGATTTGGGGGATTCCTTTATTATTGAATGAACGTTACTGTGGACATCGCAAATTAAATTTCATTTTCCAACAGATAAAGACTATTTTTATAGAATAGGTCTTTATACTTACCTAGATCATTTTTAAGTTGCTCCTTTAATGATAGACAACCAGGGACTTAAATAGCGGTAAAATACAGTAACGTTATCTGCGAAATTGCAAGATAACGTTATGTTTAAGAGAAACGATATCTTAAAACAATATTATGCAAAGTTTTGCAAGTGTATAACGTTATAATTACGTAACAATAAATTTGTAAATTAAACGTTTCTAAAATATTGTTATCACAAAATAATAATGTTATTATTTATTATTCCATCTCGTTTACTCGTATGTTTTTTTACTCGCTAAAGGTATGTATATATAGTAATCGTCTGCGCAGCAATTGAGTTATCAAATGAAACAGTCAGATTTTACATAAGTACATACAACTCGGAATATCAAATATGTTTCCATATTTTTTACATGTTTCTAACGATGCGCCCTGGCTTTACTCTGGTAACTATGTTTGTTCGGGTTGAATCTTGCAACTCATTTTGAAGCAAATATTTTTTTTTATACGCGGTAGAGCCATGTTGCAGTTATAAGGGGTTTTCCAATAGGGACTTGACAATTTTGAATTTAGTTTGTGAACGCACCTTTTCACTTAACATCGAACTGTCACTCTCAGTTTATTCAGTAGTTCAGTAGACATAACCTTTTCATGATGATGAAGTACACGAACGAACAATGTCTGCAAATTTTAAAAATTTATTACAGAAATTCGAAGTCGGTGTCCGCTACATTAATAGCGTTAACTCCGATTTTCGGTCGCAATTCTCGCCCTAGTAGACAGGCAGTAATAAGTGTAGTGAAAAAGTTTGAGTCTACATATACGTTGTGTGATGTTGCCGTGTCAGTGAGACTATGGGTTGGTCGAAGTGTCGAAAATATCGTCGCCGTTGAAACGTCCGTAGCAAATGATCCAAATCAGTCAATTCCACGGCGTTCTCAAGAGTTGGGCATCGCCAAGACCACTTTATGGCGAATTTTGCGTAAGGATCTTACTTTACACCCATTCAAGATCAGGCTCACTCAAGAATTGAAGCCGATGGACCATTCGAAGCGACGTACGTTCTCCGATTGGGCTCTGGAAAAGATGCGCCAAAATGATCAATTTCATCGCGAAATCATCTTCAGTGACGAAGCTCATTTCTAGCTCAATGGGTTTGTCAATAAACAAAATATGCGGCATTGGGCGGGTAAAAATCCACGTGTGCTTAATGAAAAACCACTTCATCCACAAAAGATAATTGTTTGGTGCGGTTTGCATGCCGGCGGCGTCATAGGGCCATATTTTTTCGTCGACGATAGTGGTCGCCACGTTCCTGTGAATGGAGATCGTTATCGTGCCATGATTATCGATTATTTTAGGCCCGAATTGAATATATGGACATGGACAGCATGTGGTTTCAACAGGACGGCGCCACAAGCCATACAGCACACGTTATAATCGATTTATTGAATAATAAGTTTAAGGATTTATTGAACAAATTTAACAAGCGTGTTATCTCAAGAAATGGACCAGTAGATTGGCCGCCTCGTTAGTGCGACGTAACGCCTCTAGATTTTTTTCTCTGGGCCGAAATATGTGGCCGAGTCATGGAAAATTGAGTCCAACGAATCAACAGCTGCAAACGTGCCCGCGGTGGCCATATGAGCGAAGTCGAGTTCCATTCATAAATGTTTTGAATATAGTTCAACCCGATTATAAAGTTTTTGAAATATCTCAAATGATTTTCATTTTGAAAAAAGTCGTCAAGTACTTATTGGAAAACCCTTTATTAGTAGTATAGTCGTAGCACGAATGGGTTGGCTCGACCGGGGAAGGATCACGCTCTCACAGAATACTAGCGTAAACATAGTAGCTTAATGCTGCTGTGTCTGGTATGGTGAGTGTAGAGAACCGAAGACCCTTTTTGCCGGAAACGAGGCATTCCATATTAGTTTTAACGGGTGACAACACATCTGTATTTTGATTCGTATTTGAGGATAGATGTAGATGTCTATGTGCCACAGCAAACACTTACCATCAGGTAGACTGTGTGCTCGTTTGTCAGCCTATCCTATAAAAAATATTCTTTTTTTATTAGATTAAGCATCTTTCACCGTAGGGAATGGTGCAATTTTCATAAAAACCGCTTCATAGTTTTTAAGATATGTTATGTTAAGCGTAAAGTCAGTTTGAATTTTAACCAACTTCAAAAAAGAGGTTATCAATTCGACACGTATGTAGGTAAAATTATTGGAACTACAAAATATTCACATATGATAATCTATCTAACAAAATTTTATAGATGTATGTATGTATGTTTGTCCACGCATTTCTCCGAAACTGGTGATTTGATCGCGATCTTTTTATTTTTATTCATTTAAACTTAAAGATTTTTTACTTACATTTATTTCAACTTAGGGAATAATAACGATTTCATCATAATCGGTTCACTGTCGTTTTTATGACATTGACTAAAACGTGTACATAGCTAAAACTGAAATGGTTTTTGTAATAAATAGTTATTACAACTTAATACTAAAAATTACGATATAAAATAGTAATTTAAAAAAAATAACCCATTTAAAAAAAAAGGTCAAAAATAACTGAACGGGGGATTTCATTTATTAAAGATTTAAATTTTCAAAGTCTGCGTCAGTCAAAAATGCTTTAATAAAACAAACTTTACAAAAAAATTGCTATAAAACTAATACTATAATTTTTTTATACGATTAGATAATGAGAAATAATAATCTGAAAACCAATTATTCCGAATCTATAAATTTGTTTTATCTATAATGTAGCAATAGTGTTGCTAATGTAACTTTAAATAATAATAATCTAAATTAAAATAAAAGTTTAACTTTTACATTATATAAAAAAACAATAATATTGCTTAATTAAATAATTAATATGGTTGCGCGGAAAACCATTCGTATTTATTTTATTTGACGGTAGGCTGCCAAATCGGTTATCCCTTTCCAAAACGATATCATTCGTACCCTCCTATCGACACATCGGGGTGGTGGGGTGGGAGCGGAAAGAAGATGATTCTAGAACATCACGTAATCATCGGAACCGAGGATATATAAGACACGCGCGACCGACGCGTGGTCTCTTCCCGCCGCGCTCGTTGTTGAAACCACACCGATAGTAGAAACCGCTTTAGCCTGGAAGCAATCGAGCTCCAGGGAACCCGCCTCACCTCGTGTGAGATATAGTCGCGCAACGCCTCTCTCCGGAGTGTTCCAGAAGTCGCAGTTATAGTGCTCAACCGCACAGAAGAAACATCCCGGTGAGTCGACATTTTCCTAATAGTATTTTCCTGCTTGATATAATCGTTTAACCCGCTCCAATTTTGTGTTTTCCTAATCAAGCAGGATTCCTTTCATCGATTTGGCATAATAGTTCGTTTTTATGGGAAGAGCGAGTGCATTGTACCGCATATACAAGTGTAGAAGCATTATTACATACAGTCCACTTAGATTTATAATTCGCGCAATAGGTTTAAGGTTCGACCGGGGAACTAGACTTCGGCAGCCTTAAACACGTGGTTCCACCATAATATTTTAATTTTCTTTATGGTTTAGTTATACATATTAAAATATTAGCAACACTAATTAGTATTAATAATTATTGGTTTTTATATAACCTAGCTTAATTTAATTACAATACTTATTAAAAATAAAATGTTTAGAATTAAAATTAATAAATATTGTATAGTGATTTGGTGCCATTTTTTGATTTTTTAATTCATTTTGTTATTTTGTAGGTAGGCACTGTCTGTAACAACTTTATAATGCCTTTGATAAAGACTTTAATCTCTCCCGTGACCATTATGGCTGTAAAGCATTCGAAAAGACGGGAACTAAAAATCTAAATACATCGGCGAGAAAATCCAAAAAGATAGTTTTATTTAATATGTCAAATATTTGCGTAAGTCTAAGAAAGTATAATGCTTTCAGACACGAATACCTATCTAATGAGTAAATATGACAGAGTAATTAGTTATAATTAAAGTATAGGTAGGTACATCAATTGTCATGTTTTTATACGTATCGATATAAATGTGCTCGGCTTTGCAAAAAAAAATGGTAATGCCATAATTTGTTGGCCTAGTTTGCACTTTTGATTTCGTTTTGTTACTTAATTTAGTAATTTCATAATCTTAAGAATTTTTTTGAAGTCGGTTTAAATTTTTAAACTAATTAATTTTTTTCTTAAAACTGTGTTTATTTGCGAAATTTATTATTGTGTACGAACAGAGTAGAGGCTTATTAAAATATAGAAACTACAGATTAGTATAGGCAACAACAAATTAAACAGAAAATAGTCTGATCAACTTTTAGTATGGAACCAATCATGAAATCGTGAAAAAATATTTAGGGTTTCATACATTTGGCCGAGTTTGGAAAACACAAATGTATGGAACAGCTGTTTTTCTTTCGCGTGTTCAATGTGGGGAAAAACATGTTTTTTTTATTCTCAAAAAAAGTTTCCCATAGAAAATTTTTTTTTTTCGAAGGTTTTTTAAACAGTACAAACAACCTTGAATGTAGGTTGGTGTCCTGTTTTCTAGGATACCTGTACCTATATGTTAATACAATATTTTTTTAATAAAAATGGCTGTCAAGATTAAAATATCTATAAGGTTTATTAATTTTTTACGACCCATTTCCAGCATTTATAACTAAGTTGTAAAGATTCAACTTTAAAAAATAAATACATATAAGTAATATGTACATAGTGTATGTTTTTATACGTGGTAGAGCCATGCTGCAGTTATATTAGTAGTGTACATGTAGCACGAATGGGTCGGCTAAATCGGTGAAGGACCACGCTCTCACAGAATACCGAATAGTGTTTTGTGTGGTGAGTGTAGAGAATCGGAGACCCTTTTTACTGGAAACGAGGCATTTCATTTTAGTCCTCGCAGGTAACAACGCATCTGCATTTTGATTCGTAATCGAGGATAGATGTTTATGTCTATGGGTCACAGCAACCACTTACCATCAGGTGGATTGTGTGCTCGTTTGTCACTCTATCCTATAAAAAAATGATATTTATCTAGGTATAATTATTAGGTAATACGTCGTAAAACGCAACTCGCAAGCGGTTGATATTTGTTATTTTTGCAAATATCCATTCACTTTACAACGTTGGCAGTTTGCTTCTGGGGCGCATGCAGTGTGGGAAATTCCCCGTCCATCAAAGCTATCTAGTATACTAATTGGATCTCAGGCTCCACCCACCTCGTAAATCGGGCAGATTCGCGCGCTTTTGAAAACCAATACGTTTGGCAACGTCGCGTATTTATCGTTATTATAACGTTAACTTGCCTGTCACAATTTCGTTCTGTTACTCTTAAAACGTTATATTAAATATAGAAAAAAATAGCCTTGCTGAGGAAACGATACCATTATGACGTTAAAAAATCTGTTGTTTATACTGTTTTAAGTCCCTGTAGACAATAGTTTTATTAGTCGTTTTCTGAGCATAGTGTGACTAGTAGGAATTCCTTAATTGAGAATTTTTATAATGGAAAACGAAATTTTTTGCAGGATTTGTCGTTCATCGATCCCCAAAAAGCAGTGTATGGTGAATTTCGAACTCTGATAAGAATACTCCAAAGGTTTACTAATTTAGTTGCAACAGAAAACAACAATTAAGATAGGGAATTAAAATTAGATGTTTCGGTGTCTAATTTATTGTCAACTTCTAGTTCGATGTTCGAAACTTTTATGGTAGATAAATTTTGGAGTGAAGTCAGCCAAATCTGTGATGCGGATAGCAAACCAAAGTATGGAAATTTGTCCCGAAAGACTGTCTACGACAGTTGGAAGGAGGATGTAGCAGATTTGTTCCTGACAGAAGTATGATCAAGTTGGATTCAAAATAGCTTTATGACAATGTTACCCCACATAAAGACGAAGAATCTTAACTTTAAACTTTTTCTTTAGTTAATGGTGGTTTCTTTGTTATTTGATTATTTTATCGTTTAATCAAGAAAACATTCATGTTTTTACGTCGTAACACGACAGCAAAAAAATATATTAGATTTCTAGTACTTTCTCGTTCTCTTTTGGTAGAATTCAGTAGCTTTTAACCTCCACAAGCAGTAGATTCGTGAAATGAAATCTGGTCACACTGCTTGGCCTGTTGATAATTTGCTGGGATTTATGTGGTGCTTGTACGTGTTTATTTGTGTGATTTTCGCCTTTTAGCCTTTTACATGGTAGTATCTTAGTAGTTGTGTTTTACCTCCGATAGGAGTAACAGTGTTCTGTGCCTTTTACCTTCTTATCTTTAAAGTGAAATAAAGTACATATGTTTTAACAAAAAGAAACTATTTAAGAAGCCAGAATGGATGACGAAATCTTAGCTCCACATATTTCAAAATCATCTAATCGAAAAATAATTGCATTAGAAAAAACACTACAACAATCTATCATAAACTTCAAAGGTTACTTTTTAATATTTTTCGTTGTAAAGTTAAATGGATTTATCCTGAAGCTTAATATTTTTGTATAACTTTTCAGATCTTGTTTTAGAATTTGAAAACATTTATATAGAATCAGAATGCTATAAAAGTCAAATTTTGGAGCAAAAACAAAAGTGCGAAAAGTAAGTGCTACCATTAGTTCATCTCAAAAGAAAATTCAGTCGACCTTGCATTGCAAAACCTGCTTAATTTTTCGTTTTCGTTGGGTCAGTGTAGTATTTTTAAATACATGTTTTACAAGTAAGGTTCACCCACCAACAAGCACACTGAATAAATAAACCTTTAGTGATATTTTTATATTTACTTGGCAAATCCACACTTAAAATTCTACCTTTTCATTGATCCAGACAGGGATTGAATTTGGGTTGCTTGCTTGTAGGTCATTTGCCCCTTATTTGGCTCTCATAATTAGATTAACCAGGTATATAGTTTCAAAACTTTTAAAGTAATATAGTGCTAAACATCTTGACCCCCTGAGGTCGTAGACAACATCAAGCTACTGCTGACCTTTTTCGAGGAGGTTTCATGGCTTGAATGATTATAATAATACTGGCCACACACATTGTGCTTAGTCTAACTTAACTAACTAAAGTAACTATAGTCAACCAAATCTAAGAAATACCTTTTGACGTTTTACATTAATCATTCCACAATGACTGCACAAGCATACTCACACGATTTAAAATAACCTTTTACATTAATCTGAAGAATTATGAAGTTATCTATATTTCATTACAATGTGTATAGTTTTTTATCACTAATATAAATTTGAAGTTTTCAAACAAAGCAAAATATTAAAAAATAACCAATATTAACTTTTTTACTTGACGTCGTTTCAATGATATGTCGCCATGTATATTATTACCGTAGTGCTTGGATGATTAAAATTAATTGTTATGCGAATAATCGGCAAAATATGCAAATAATCTGTAAAATATTCTAATAATCAAATCAATAATTTCTTTAATGTATTATTTATTTAATTTAATTTTTATTTTCAAAATTCCTTAAATTACATGAATCATGAATAAAACAAGTTTATTTTTTTCACTTTGTCAAAGTACATTTTTGTAGGCAAAAAACTCATACAATGCCGTGCTAAAATAACCACTACATAATTTTAATATCCCGCCATTTCGGTACCAGTTACTCGACTCCACAGAATCTGTAATTCATTTTTTTACGCTTACGCATACGCTTTTATAACAAAATGCCAGAAAATATACAAAATTTGATGTAAGTACACAAAGTTCAAAAACTTTATTAAACTAAGTTTGTATAAAAAGGGTTATTCTATTATTAAGGAATTTATGGATGATTAATAATCCCTGGGAAGGGTGATCGCTACCAAGCTATTTCTATTTTGTTTTGTGTTGTTAATTGTTACTCGCATCATTGTAAGCTCTTTATTTTTTTTTAACAATACATGCCTACAAGCTAACAGATGATAGCATCTGCATCAGCAGATAAAATTGTCTATTTTAAGTCATAATTAAATTACCAAATAAATAACATTAAATAAAAACAAAAATAGAAAATTAAGTTGAAATAATTGCAGAACAAAATTATAACAAAATTATAAACAGAAAATTATATTATCTCTTTATTTTTTTTAAAACTAGTTTCGTTGGGTGTCTTGCTGGTTCTTCAAAGGACAGAGGTATTTTTTACAAACCAGTGGTAAATGAAAAAAGTGACTTTCAATAAGTATTATTAATTATTTGAATAAAAAAGTTTCTGTTTCGACAGCTTATTGTGCGTAATTTTTTGTTTGTCTTCTTATTTTGTGACTCGGCTTTAACTTTTTGGACTGTTTCTTCTATAATAACTTTTTGTATGTGGTAGAGCCACGCTACATCTATATTATGGTTGTAGCACTAATGGGTCGGCTCAACTAGGGCAGGACCACGCTCTCACAGAATACCAGTGTAATGCTGATGTGTTTCGTATGGTGAGTGTAGAGAACCGGAGAACCTTTTTACTGGAATCGAGGCATTCCATCTTAGTCCTCAGGGGTGACAACGAATTTGAATGTTGATTCTTAATTGGGGATAAATGTGTATGTCTATGGGCCAAAGCAACCACTTACCATCAGGTGGACTGTGTGCTCGTTTGTCACCCAATGCTATAAAAAAAATTCATTGAAGCATGTGCTCATGTCACAAAGGATGATTGGGCAAAAGTGGTAGAAGAAACAAAAAAATTGATTATGGATGACTTTGAAAGAGACATTAATTTTGACATAGTATTTACTAGTTATACACATATTTTGACTGGTTGTACTGAAACTTATTGAATAATTTTGTTTTTAGTCTAGTTTCAATCTTAAATTTTTATAACTGTGCCTCTAGAAATAAGCAGTAATAACAAATACGAAGAAACTGATGAATCTTGTGTTTTAAATTATCAGTTATTAATTTATTCTGGTATTATTCAAGCCAAACTGTAATTGATTACCAACTCTAAATAATCGAAATTGATTTTTTTAAGAATCGAATATTGTATGTTCCCATTTTTTGGTTGGCATGCTTGGTGCAACAAGTCTGACATCCGTCAAAATGTATTTCTTAGATTTGGTTGACTATAAACTAGCTATTTCAAATGAATGCTATTCAGAGAACTGACTTTTTTAAACATACATATGCAACATTTCAGCTCTAAGTAACTAATAGTTTTCAAAAAATTGCAAACATATTTATTACAATTTTTATTGATAATATATTATATTATTAGTTTTTATGCAAGTTGTGTTAGGGTTTTATAAAATGTAAATATTTTAAATTAAAATAAGAAAATTTTTTCACTCCTATAAAAGTTAAAAATGAGTAACATTGCATTAGTTATATAAAATACATGTTACTGTAAAAACTTTTTTTCTGGCTAAATGTACCTTTTACCAATGAGAACAGTGATATTTGTCAGTAAATGGATGTGTGGCTTTGGTGGCTCTTTGGCCGTCTTAGGAAAAAACATTTTAACTTTAATCAGATTATCATCAGTGGCAGTAAATTTAACCTATTGTTAAAATGGCGGATGTTTGTTGTAGATTGTTACTAAAGTCCTCAAATTGGTTATAACACAAACATTATTAATAAACCATAAAGTCAAAACTTATACAATTTAGACTTGTTTAAAGCTCTTAGGAATGTCAAAATCACATCATCTCCACTCATCAAAATCATGATTAGCAAAAAAAAGACCTCTGAGTGAATTAAAGAATCCCTGAGGTTTTTTTGAATGCCATTTTGCAATTTCATTTATAAATTCATGTATAGTAAAATCAAACAACGTCAAATTAATTTTAATATTTTTTTAAAAGTATCAATTTTAACAATATATTTACAAGTCAGGGGACTTGCAAGTGCAGAGTAAAAGTTATTTCTGCATGTGATTGTCTTAAATATATTGATCTATTTTATAGTAAGCCTTCTTTACAAAATTTTGAAGGCAACAAACCAAAGTTGAATCACAATTTTATTTGGCCATAAAATGAGTTTCGGTGAGAGATGGTGTAATGGTATGCTTAACCTTTTGAGCGCCACGCCAAAAACTCACTACCGTGTCCTGTACGCCAAAGCGAAAAGTAAACAAAAATACCTACGAAAAAAACAGTGCTGCCAAGAGTTGATATATCGATAACACAAAATAACTTGTTTTTGTTGGTTTTTTATACAATAAATGAGTCTTTATAATCGGGTATGTTTTATTTAATCTAGTGCTGTCTTCCACTCTTTTTATATATGTACTTTGTACATAAATAAAAAACAAACAATAACAATAAAATAGTAGTAAACCACAACACTACTCTCCGTCGTGATGACGTCACTGTCACGACTGGACGACAACGGCGTAGCTGACCTTTCTTTTTGAAACTTTCTTAGAGATGTAGCCGTGTCGCACGTTGTGTATCGATTTCAAAATCGATGTAACCAAAATATACAGACATCTATTCAAAATATTTTATGGCAAGACGTAGACCAAGTGAATCACAGAAGAAAAAGTCTTACGCTCTTATGATAAAGGGGGGTTTCATATGATACTGATGTTGCTAAATGATTTTAAGATTGAGAAAGAAAATCGCACAACACAAAATGAAAATTGCTCTTCATACCTTAAGTAAAGAAAACACATTTATTATTTGTAATTTTATATTATTAAAATAGAAAAGGTACGTAATTATTCACTAATCAACAACTGTATATAGGTAATTATTCGCACTAGAAAAATCAGTCTTATAATATTAAAATCTTGGTCATGGAATAAAAAAATCAGTACTTATTACAGAAATCAACAAAGGGTACATAATTATTCAACAATTGTAAATAATTGTTTGCACTAGGTCTAGTCATAAAATATTAAAATCTTGGTCTTTAACTCAATCAGTACTTAATATAGAAAACAACAATTAAAAATAATTAATAAATTATAGGTAATATTAGTCTTAAAATAATAAAAATCTTATGGAATAATAAAACATAAATGTTTAGCTGGCCAAAGCAAATTTTCTAACGTGGTAGAGCCATGCTGCAGTTATATTACGGGAGTTAGTAGTTGTAGCACGAATGGGTCGGCTCAACCGGGGAAGAACCACGCTCTCACGGAATATCGGCATCAAATAGTAGTTTAATGCTACTGTGTTTCGTATGGTAAGTGTAGAGAACCGGAGACCCTCTTTACTGGAAACGAGGCATTCCATCTAAGTCCTCACGGGTGAGAGCGCATCTGCATTTTGATTCGTAATCGAGGATAGATGTAAATGTCTATGGGCCACAGCAACCACTTACCATCAGGTGGACTGTGTGCTCGTTTATTACCCTATGCTATAAAAAAGAAATTAACCGTAAAAAGACTATAAAGTGTATTCCTACCTCATTGAGGTAGAGTTAATCGAAAACGAAAAACTTTGGTTTCACGATAATTTTAAATTTCCGAAAATTCATCATCGTCGACGCTTTCCAAAATCCGAATGAGTTCTGAGGAATCGTTCATGTTGCACTGCACTAATTTTCCCGCTAATCGCTTATGACGTCATCAGTGTGTCGTCTATACTTGACCACGGCGCCCAGTGAACTGATTTTCGATGTCGCGCTAAGGATGCGCCAGAGTTGAGATATTAGATTTA